TATTGTCACGAGAACCTGTGGATTACAGGACAGATGTGAATTTCAAAACCAGGCATCTTCCCATTTTACATTATGTAGTGAAATTGTCGATGAAGTAGTTATATACCTACAATAATCGACTATACTACTTAGTTTTACTATTTAAGTAGGGTGTCTAAACTGCCAGTAAATAAGAAATATGAGATATATCTAACTTGAAAGCCTACTTATAAACGAAAAATAAGTAATGTAATCTAATGTTATAGCAAATACAACTTTACTTCATCGACAATCCCATCACAGCGTGTGATGTAGGAATATGTCTGGCCTTCCCAGAAATTCATATCTGCTCTGTGATAGAAGCACAATGTGGCGTAGTCGTTAAAATGTCGAGATTATACGCTGCACTGTCATGGTTTGGGTCCAGCTGGGGGTGCTGATAAGACCTAGGCGAGATCGAAATTGCAGTCCATTCTGGAATAAAATGCATTTTGGGAAGCAAGGCTATGTGAAATTTAATAGAGGCTTCAGATCTACTCACATCACAGTGAGAAAATTCAACTAAAAGTCCCTCATCACCTTAAACGAAATTGGGTTAATACATCTAATATATCTGATTTACTGGTAGTCCCGAAACCCTAATTATAAACAAAAAACGAGGTCATAATGTTTGCCAGTTTAACTTGACAGTAGTATGAAACAACCTGATGGCGTTATTTTGTTCTATTAAAATAGTAAAAGCCCTGAAATAGAAATATACAGCTCCGAATGAGCAGCCAACCTTTTCCATCCACGCGTTGATCAGCCAGTCGGCGTCCAGCCAGCATAAGCTGGAGAAGCTCGGCAAGTCGCATCGAGGAAAGTCCCGGAAGTTCGTCAGATTCGATGTCCCCTAACTGAGTAGTAGAGTGGCGTGATGCCAAAGCAGGGCAATCGTGACGATCGCAATGAGAGGCAAGCCAATGCGAGAGGCTGGCCAACAGTGCATCAAGTAGGAAACCGGAGGAAACAAAATCGCAGACACCGCGGCTATTTGCTAGTCGCACCAATAGAGATTTTTGGCGGTCGGAGCAGCAGAAAGCCGGCCAGATTTCATGACTATGACCAGCTACTTTAAGGCTCTGAGTATATGATATATGGATAAAGACAAATTGGTGGTCAAAGATGCTACGAGAGTCAATTATTGCCAATGAATGTATTTTACATTTACGTTATGGCCCTAATATTCACTTTTTGCATTATTTATGTTTGGTACAGTGGATCAATATAAATCGAATTAAATTCCCTTATTTTAAACTTGTGGGAACATTTAATCTTGTCCGTTTCACTTAAACAAAGAGATGATCAACAAATTCAAGACCTGTATACTGAGCCTTTATAGTTAGCATGTTTCATTTTCGCTGAAAACTGGTGAATTACA